TGCCCATCCAGGGATCAGTCGTACTGTGGCTCTCATTAGTCAACGTTTTTGGTGGCCCTCCTTACTAAAGAATGTTAAGGAGTTTGTGTTGGCCTGCCCGACCTGCGCTCGCAACAAGTCTTCACACCAGCCCCCTGTCGGTTTGCTTCAACCATTGCCCATTCCCAAGAGACCCTGCTCTCACATTGCTATAAACTTTGTCACTGGACTTCCCACCTCTAAAGGTATGACCACCATTTTAACCATTATTGACTGTTTCTCCAAGGCCTGTCATCTTGTTCCATTGAGGAAGCTTCCCACAGCACTGCAAACAGCCCAACTCCTGGTGAAGCATGTTTCCAAAAAACGGTCCATACAAGGTGGAGAGGATCATCACTCCTTCTGCCGTCCGTCTTCAGCTTCCCTCCGCGCTCCGGATACACCCCACTTTCCACATTTCCCAGATTAAGCCCGTTTTCTCTAGCTTCTTGTGGCCACCCGCTGAGCCCCCTCCCCCCTTGGACATTGATGGCCACCCTGCCTACACGGTCCACAGGATTGTGGATGCCCGCCGTCATGGGCGTGGGTGGCAATAAATGGTATCCTGGGAGGGTAACGGTCCGAAGGACCGTTCCTGGGTCCCAGGATCATGATTTTATCTAGAGCCCTGACCCACATGCAGAAGACCAAACAGAGAGACCATTGAAAATTTTAACAGGTTTTTATTTAGAGTGAATGAGATGAGTCCAGTGCTGCGCTGAACACTGTCGAACCGGAACTGGAAAGTGAAGGGGAAGATTAGTTCAGGCTCAGTGGGAAATTGGTGTCTTGACTTGAAGAACAGGAATTAAAACTCACGTTTCCAGAAAAAGATGTCTCTTATTGAATCTAGTCGGTGTGGGTTGTTCCAGTGAATGTCTTGTTCGCTGGAGGGCGGACAGGGTTCACCCAGATTGCGGTTATTCCTTGGTGAACGGAGAAGCTGAGTGCCACTTAGTTTTCCTGCGGTACTTGAACGGGTTATAGTGGACATGAATCCCCTGCTCAGTGAGAAGCCCAAAAAAATCCTTGAGGGGAAAAGTTGATCCAAACCACAAACTTGAATCCTCAGCTCAGTTTGGTACTCAGAGAATCCTTCCAGGGGGGGAGAAGGTCCAAAACATCCAGTTTGCAGGATGACTTCCTGCTGAGAGGCAAAGACAAAAACAGCAAGGTTAAAAACTCAGGTAGAAAAAAACTCAGTTTGACTCAGCAAAACTCAGCTTGGCTAGAGTACCCAAAACTGGCAAACACTCTGGCGTTGATGTAGTGGCAGTTAGCAGCTTAAGAGTCCTCCGTTAATGAGGTTACCATCCGCAGGTGTGTGAGGAGGCCAACCAGAACCAGGCGTCGCCTGGTGGAGGAGGGAAGACAAACCAAAACACAACCCACACAAACTGGATTCCTAACAGTAACCCCCCCTCAACGACCGCCACCCGGCGGTCCAGAAGAACCTGAGGGCTGAGAGAGGCGGAAGTCCCTAATGAGGGAGGGGTCTAAAATAAACAATCCCAGGACCCAGGAACGATCCTCGGGACCATAACCCTCCCAGTCAACAAGATGAGCGTGGATGAGCATTGATGATGCATCGGACGGTGTAGGCGGGCTGGCCATCAATGTCCAAGGGGGGAGGGGGCTCAGCGGGTGGGCACAAGGGGCTCGATGAGACTGGCTTGATTTGTGAAAAGTGGAAGGTGGGGTGGATACGAAGGGAGGAGGGGAGACGGAGATGGACGGCAAATTCCCCTATGGTTCTCTCGGCTTTGCATGGGCCAATGAATCTGGGAGACATATTTCGAGACATAGCTTTGAGAGGGATCTCACGGGTAGAGAGCCAGACCTTCTGGCCCGGGCGATAGAAAGGAGCAACCCTCCTCCTGCGATTGGCCCATCTTTGGTTGTGCTCGGAGGTCCTTCCCAGAGCCGTCATGGCCCGGTTCCAGAAGGTCCGGCAGCGACGGATGTGGTGTTAAACGGAGGGTAAGGCGACGGCTGCCACTTCGGACGGAAAAAGGGGTGGCTGGTATCCAATAGACGCCTCGAAAGGGGATAGACCTGTTGTGGAGGAGACACTTGAGTTGAGTTCTCTCGTGAAAAAAGCAGACAGAAAGAATTGGCCCATGATACAAGATTTACGTTCAGTGAACTTAGCTGTGCAGACATGAGCTCCGAATGTCCCAGATCCTCACACATTGTTAACAAACTGGATCCTGAGAGCACATTTTTCACAGTGATTGACATAAAATAAACCTGAAAATAAACCAAATAAACCTACACAGTTTTGGAAAAAAATAAACATACACACACCTGCCACAAGCGGACAGTCCTACAATTTTTACCCAGACCATTTGAACATGTTTCGAGAGTTTTAATCAAAAGCTTGGAAGCCAGGTTTTAATGTATGTGGATGACCTTCTGTTTGTGTCTAAAACAGCTGAACACTGTAGAGAAGACTCCCTGCAACTGCCTCATCATTTGGCTAACAAAGGGCAGAAACAAGTCCGTTACTTAAGCCATTTTATTTCAGATGGAAAAAAGGTACAGGAAGAGCAAAAAACTGCAATAGCAAGTGTGCCTAAGCCAGTGACTAAACAACTAATTATGTTTTTTTTTAGCATTGTGCAATTACAGTAGAGCTTGGATTCCACGTTATGCAGAAAAAACTCAGCTTCTCTTAAACATTATCTATGACACACCAATGGCTATTTCAGAAGCAATCCAGTGGACCCAAGAAGCAGAACAGCAGTTCACAGAGCTTATGTCAGCAACTGTACTAGCTCTATGAAAGTATCAAAAAACATTCATCCAAACAGTTGACTGTAAAGCTGGTTTTACTGTGCCATGGCGATAAGCTCAAACCTGTAGAATACTACTCTAAAAGGTTAGACCCATGGGAGGAACACTATCCCCATGGTTACAAGTTGTATGTGCTGCTGTCATTGAGGTAAAAAATTCAGCCTATTTGGTCCCTTTTCACCTAATTACTTTGTTAGTCCCTCATGCAGTGAATCTCCTTTCTTTTTCTTTTTCCTTTTTTTTTGTAACAGCGTCCTGTCTGGCAATGTGGCAATAAGAAAAATTTTATTGATGCCAAAAAGAGCCCAACAGATTTTACTTTCACAAGTGGAGCAGTAGGGCTATTGCCATATTGTTTCAGTTGTTACATGCATATAAATTGCTTTATTATAATTATGCAGGGAGTTTTACAGTTTATATGGACACTGCAATGTAAATAGAACAGAAGAGGAAAAACAGAGGAAGAAGAAAAAAAGAGAAAAGATGAAAGAAAGAGGAGATAGAAAGGAGACAATGATAAAACATTTTCAGTCTGCTTCATCACCTGCAACTAGATGCAAAAAGAACAGCATAACCGAAAGACACAGTATGAGACATACAATAAGGCAACACCTTGAAACTATTATTTAATCTGACATGTACTCTGTGATACCTGAAGATAAGAGTGTGGCCTTTCTATATGGAAGTGAATCTCTGAGTACCTGGAACCAAGCACCTGTAGTTGTTTGTGAAAGTGCATTTGTGCATGTAAAGTTAATCCATAGAAAAAATGCTCAAAAGTGGTTGTGGAGGGCCGAAGAGGCGCCCCCCCAGAGCACCAAGTCCAGCGCCGGGAGACCCAAAGCCCCAGACGCCTAAAGGGACCCCAAGAGCGAAGGCACCAAGGAGGGGCCAGCCCAGTAAATCCGACGCCCACCAAGGGAGGAGGAAACACAGCCCAGAGGAAGTCCCCCAGCCACCGCAATGCCGGCGCCCCGGGGTGCCGTGGGGACGAGTCCATGGGCTCCGCCACCAATCATTATACTATCTTTTTCTTTGCAAAACAATGGGAATGCAGAGGCATGGTAACCTCAACAGGCAAAACTGTTGTATATGCAGAC